AACCAATCGGCTCATAACATCCCCCTAGTGGCTTTCTCAGCCATTTTAATGGGCTTGGATGCCATTTCTTTCTTTTGAACCAATATTTCAAGGAAGTAGGGTGTGTCTTTAGCCTGCTCAAAATTTCATATTTCTTTTTACTAAAATACATCTTAGTTACTAAGCTTGATAAATTATAGTGGAATTCTATGGTATTGATGTTGTAATTTATGATTTTTTAGTTATTCAAATGTATATATATATAAAACCTAAAAAATATTATTTTGTTTCATATTTTCCACATGGTTAGTTAAAAGATCAACATATGAAAAAGGCATTCTGTCTCTTATTTACCAAGCTGTCAAATAACACATTATAGTAAGACACTGTTCTGATGTCTTGTGATAATTAATCTGTCCAGCTGAGTTGTAACAGACTTTCTTCATAACAGAGCACACACAAGCCACTAGATACATTGCTAGGACAAATGAAATCAATCAGTAAGATCCTAGGCAAATTGACAACTAGTCCCAGCTGTTAATGATGACCAGGATTCTGACAAGTAAGCTTCAATAAATTTGCAATCCTTGCTTTCCAAGCACTCAGGTTAAGATTTACTTGTAGAATCTTCCTATGCAAATTTGCAGTCTTGTGCATGAGTCGAAGCAACTTTATGTTGCTATGAAAGATTGTCTGATGGTCTGTAAGATTGTACCAGTCTTTATGTAGTGCAATAAAGGAGTCGTTCTCTAACACACAATGAGAAACTGACATATGCTATATAAATCAGGTTAAATGTGCATTATTTTGCAAAACTTTTCTCAGTTATGTTTTGTAGTTATATGATACAGTGAATTTTTGTGACCCCTAGATGGTGGTACCAAAAGGTCAAACAGCAACTGTGGTTGATTGCTGTGTTATGATAGCAGAAGTAATTTTGCTGTTGTCCCTTGTGTGCCTACTACCTTGAATTGTGTGAATATTTTGTAGCTGATAACATGAAATGTGGCCTAAATGAATGTTTGTAGCAGAAAGTACTATGCTTATTTCTATGCGATTCCTTTTTTGTAATATCATTCAAGTTACAGTAACATTTAGGCAGCTCCTTAGATCTTAGAAGTGGTTTAGTACATGTAGAGGGCTGGTACAGTTTCCATGGAAACCAGACTAGCTGTTGCACAGTGCCACCATGCCTTGCAAGTAAGCATATATGACACTGGGATAGGAATGTGTGCATGATAGAAACTACACATGTGGAACAATTTTATATATTTAATTATATACACGAATGCAATGTAAATTTGTGTTTGTGCTTAAGCACACATAACACGTTCTTTTTGTCTGTTGACTTAAATGTTTTGCCCCTCCCCTCATCCCAAAATATTTCTGTGGGCCCCCCATGACTGTTTTAATAATCAAAATCACAGTTACTTGTTCATTCAGACTGCAAGAAAACACAGTGTATCTACTGTTTTTGAGTAGTTTTGACTTAGAAATATGTATGACTTGTGCATTCAAGCAAGTTTTTAACTGTTCAAATACACAACCACTTGTCAAAGCAGATGGAACCTGCTTTGCTGGAAATTGAGAATAACAAAATAGTTTACCTTTTTCAAGCATCTTTCTGAAAACTTCTCATTCACAAACATTTTTATGTCCTTGAATTTCATTTTGTATATGTCAATTCCAAACACATTTGAAGTTTTAAGGACTAGTATAAACCCCAGCTAAGCTCATTTCAAAGGGATGATGTAGATACTTTTACGAGTTTATATTAGCTGGAAGTTTATCTCCCTTGTGTATGATCATTTGGTATGATCACTGACACAGGTAATTTAAGAACTGAAAGATACTGCACTAAAACCCTGAATACCACACACACAGTATCCCAAGTATTATTAATTAAAAAAAAAATCCATTATGTTACCAATCATTTGCTGAAGAAATGAAAAAAACAAACATCTATGTTAACTGAGATTTTGCCATTTTCAAGTGTTCATGAGCTTTGAAGGGAGAACTTATAAACTTAAGTTACTTCAAAGTACTTGAACTGAATATTTTCAGCCATTGATAAATGTCATTACATATTTGAATAGCTGTAAACTAGGTACAGTACTTTTAATTATAATAACTCTCAGTATACTACTATCACTGGCACTTCAGCAACAAAAGTTTTACATACATATACATATCTGGCTTGTTATATGATCAAACTTGTACATACTTAAAATATAACAAAAAAACGTTTACTCACATGTCTTCTTTTATCCTTAGCTCATGGTCACTCAAGAGACTTTGTTTCAGCTCCATCTGCTGAAGCATACCATAATACTTTTTTTCAAAAGGTGACTTTTCCTTTATGATAACTGGCTTGCGCTCCAGGGCTACAGCACTTACTAGGTGCCATTGAGATAAAGATCGTTGAATGGACAGCTCGATTGATGAGAGTCTCTGATTTGTTGAAGACAATGCTATAATAAACCATTCTCTGTTTAATACCATAAATTATAAAATTTAATACCATTCTGAAATATGATAGAAAAGTGAATCTCTACAGAGAAATTAAAATTAAAAAGCTTTAAGAAATGATTTCTTCATCTGGAACAAATAAGATCACTTCTGAAGAGTGATTTGTTTGTTTTTGAATTTCGCGCAAAGCTACTCAAGTGCTATCTGCACTAGCCGTCCCTAATTTAGCAGTGTAAGACTAGAGGGAGGGCAGCTAGTCATCATCACCCACCGCCAACTCTTGGGCTACTCTTTTACCAACGAATAGTGGGATTGACCATCACATTATAACACTCCCATGGCTGAAAGGGCGAGCATGTTTGGTGGGACGGGGATTCGAACCCGCAACCCTCAGATTGCGAGTCGAGCGCCCTTACCACCTGGCCATGCTGGGCCTAACTGAAGAGTGACAGATCATTAAGAGATTTTCTTTAAATATACAACTTACTGTAATTATACACTACAAGTAAACAAAAATTGTTCACTACAAAATATACTAAATATAAAAAAGCATGGTCAAAAAATGAGATTATTCTCTTTCACTATATAAATTTGTTACCACTTTCAGTAGTCGAACACATCCAAATCAGTCAAGTATCAATTTTTTTCACTTTATTATAGTCAACATCTTATTTACTACAAGTACAACCTTTAATTTATTTTATTTTTAACATAAATCTAGAGGATTTCAACTTACAGAAAGTTCACTCATCAACTTTTCTGTACATCTTAAATTTAACATATTTTTGTGCTTGATAAAAGATTGTATTTAAATGTTCACAGCTGATAGCCATTTCTTTTTAACACTTTCTGTCTTTAAAGTACGCAAACAACATAATTAAGATTAAAGCCGGGTGATTAACTCAACTTGTCAATATAACTGATTACCTATAAGCATTGATAACATCAAACTCATGTAAAATAACAGATTTATCAAAATTATGATTAAATCGAATAATATCACAAAAATAAACAACTTATGTTTCTGATTATAATGGTTTTTGATTATTCCAACTATCCAGTAATCTACATATTGGCATTATGATTTTCAATCATTATTTTCAATTAATTCAACTTAATCAATCAGTGTCACAACTCACGAAAATAAAAGGCTAATAGAAATTAGGAACTCTGATTATTACCATTTTTGATTATTCCAATTACCAAAGAAACTGAAAACTGCAAGTATGTTTGTTGTTGAGCATAAAATTTCACAAATAGCTGTCTGTGCTCTGCCCACCATGGGTATCAAAACTTGATTTTTAGCTTTAAGTTGTTTTGGGTTTGTTTTTTAGCCATCTCATGTGAGAACATTCAATTTATTTTTTAGCCATTTTACTTGAGAATAATAGTAAGTGAATTATTCAGTTATGAATCTGACAATTAATCTTTAGCAAATTCTACTAATCCCACAGCTCTAAGATGGCATGAACACATAAATTAAACATGGACATAAAAAAAAAGGACAAAGTCAGTCAAACAAGATATGCAAAATAACCATATTAGAAAATGTGAACTACTTTAAACTCATGTTAATCAAGCTTTACATTCACCAGTGCACTACTCATTCAAAAAAACAAACAAACCGAAAATACAAATATTGACCACATACCTACCAACAGGTATTAATTCTGATCTATGTAGGAGGATTGCTCTGATCAGTTATTTTAAATAACTCCTTTGTGAAACATGTCAGTGGATAATCTACCACATCATTCTTTTATATATATTTTTTACTGTCTTCCTTGTTTAGGTACTGACCCTGCATTAACCCTTTTAAACCAAAGGAATAGTAGTACTTGTTTGGAATTGATTAAAGATAGAACATGATAAGAACTCAACACAGAACTCTACTGAAAATGGCATGAATAAGTGATCATTCAATTAAAAGTCTTATCTCATTTTATCACAGCTACCTCCACTGTTATTATTCTCTTACATGTAGTAACACAATGATTTTGTTGTTTTGTTTATTTTTACTAGTTTGTTCAATCAATTTCCAAGTTTCTGCACAGGTCAGAAGAAGTTAACATATTGTTATGCTGGAAATACTTACAAGCATAAAACAATCAGAAATATATATATATATATATATATATATTGTTATAAGCTATATTTTCATTGTTTTAACTTAGATAGTTGCTAGAGTGCACAATGTTAATATCAAGCAAGTTCATAGCAGTAGTCCTAGAATACCTAAAAAATTCACAAAGACATTAAGAATCTAGTAATTTCATCTAATACCTAGACATGGGTGAATTAATTATAAGTACAAGCAAATAATTTGTTAACTGAGTGATGTATTCAGTGAATAATTCAGATCAGTGTTAGTAGTGAGATTATCTTATATGTTCAGCTGCTCAATCAACCATGTAATTGTACAAATAAGTTTATCTGTATTGTAAATTAGGCATATCATTATCTCAGAACTTCTGTTTAAACATTTTTTTTTGTGAACTTAAGGCTACAAATTGTATCAAAGTGAACATAGCCTGTAACAAACATTTATTGAAGAAATAATTTAATTTGTTATCATTACATGTAATAAACTTGACATTACATTTACCAGATAACTTAAAAGAACCTGCCACAAAATAGAGTATGTTACAAGATAAGTGTCAGAAGTGGAATTATTTTGGTGAAAATAAAATATAACATTAACTAAGCTTCAACTTTCAGTTTCAAAATAACATCACAAAGTGAGATTGAAAATCTATTGGATATAATAAAACATTTAAAATAAGAACAAACTGGAAGAGACAGATAATTAAAAGATGATCGAGAAGGAAGACATACATGTACATTCTAAAAGGGAATTATAATCAAAAATACACCTGACTGAAGATAATGTTACAACAGCGGAAGTCACACGACGCTGAGAGCATGCGTGCTGGAGTTTCTAGAAGGATCATGACTTATCAGGAAACCTCATGAATATCCCAGTATTTGCTAGACGGCCTCTTTTTTAGCATATAAAGGCAGATAGATTGAAGATAGATAAAATTGAGTCAAGTGAACAGTAGACACCATTAGTAAAGTTTGTGAATTATAGCGTGTGTTTATAAAAGTAGCTAAGTTAAAATGACTGTGGAAATTCTGTGTATTGCAAAGTTGTATCGAAAAAGAATAAACTAGTTTAAATGAAGAAAGAACTTGTATCGCTTAAGTTTCTCGGAAAGAATTTCTATGGAAAATTAACAAACAAGCAGATACGTAACAAATTGGTGTCAGAGAGTGGGACGGAAAAGAAAAAAAAAGATGGAAACGAGAGGTGGCAAATCAAACTACAGCTCAGCAGATTTGATGGCAGCAATACAAGTACAGCAAAAGAAACAAGAAGAACAAGAAAATAAACAAGAAGAGAGACAACAGCAGTGGCAAGAAAACCTACAACAGTGGCAGCTCGAACAGCAAACTAAACAATAAGAGAGATTACAACAGTTGTTGGAGGAAAAAGAAAAGAAACAAGAAGAACGAGAAAATAAACAAGAATAGAGGCTACAGCAGTGGTTGGAGGAGAAATAAAATAAACAAGAAGAGAGACAACAGCAGTGGCAGGAAAACCAGCACCAGTGGCAACTGGAACAAGAAAATAAACAAGAAGAATGTCTCCAGAAGTTGAGAGAAAGCCAGCACACACAAATGGAAAATATTAGTAAATTTCAAAGTGAATTAAATACATCAAAGGATGATATACTGTCTTTTACACAAGTAGGATATATTAGCCATGGATCTAATCAGCCCCAGACAACGGAAAGCCCCTTCCAGACCCCGCAGCTAAACCCTAATGCAGGCATCTTCAGTCCTGTCAGAAGTCACATTCCATACATGAGTGTCAGCAATAGGGGTGATCTAGTATGAAGGAAGCCACAGGAATTCAATGGGAATGCACCGTGGGAAGCAAATTGAGCACAATTTGAGCTCCTGGCAGAAATGAATGGATGGACAATGGAGCAGAAAGCAGTGTACCTGGCAATGAGCTTGAAGGGACAACCACTGGAAATACTTGGACAGTTGTCAGCAGACGACAGGCACAACTATAGAGCACTGGAAGCTGCTCTAGAACTCAAGTATGGAACTCAAAATCAGTCCAAAGTCTACAGGGCTAGGTTTAGGACTAGAGCCCATGCTAAAGGGGAGAGTCTGCAAGAGCTGGCACAGGATTTGGAAAATATGGCACACAAGGCCTACCCAACTGCATCACCTGATGTCCTCAAGCTGTTGCTGAGAGATCAGTTTGTAGATGCCTTGGACAGTCCACAACTGAAGATACAAGTAAACTAAGCACATCCCCTCTACTATGCTGGATGAAATGGCCAGAGCTTTTGAATTCGAATCCTA